CCCCCCTCTCCCGCCTCCCCCCCGGCCGGGTAACCAGAGTGAAACCCAACGCGTGGGTTTGGGGTTCCCAGGTCCCTCCTCACCCCACACCCGACTCCAGCTGTTCCCATTGTAATGTTTGATTTTGGAGCCCCCCCACCCACCTCCCCTCCACACACCGCAAAGAAAATCCACCGCAGTGACCCGAGGAGTTGCTGCGGGAGCTCTGCCCTCTGCCATAGGATTTATCCACCTACTCCATCTCCCGCCTCGGGTCAGCCGGGGACGTGGGGACATCAAACATCAAACGCGGAGTCCGTCGCCTCTCCATCGCCCCCCCCCCCAGACCGAGCTCTATTCGGCCGAGGAAGGCGCAGTCGGTGGAGCTCACCTTCACCTCTCCCTCGGGGTTCGGCCTGGGGGCACCACGGGTTCCCCGTACCGCTCTGCAGAGCCGGGGCAGCCCCCGAACAGGGCAGCACCCGCTGCATTTCGCCCCGGCTCTTCTGAGAGCTGCGACCCCACGCGTCCCAAAGCCCGCAGCCCAGGGGCAGCTCCGTCCCTCACCTCCGCGGCGCCAGCACCCAGCGCAGGGCCGGGGGATGCTCAGAGCCCGGGATCCCTCCAGCTCCATAACATCACCTGCCCCCACGACCCCCCCCTCTCCCTCAGACCTCCCCGCAGCCACCGCCTTGCTGTGGGTGCACAGGGGGGTGAATGGGGCCGCACTGAACCCCCCCCCCGTTGGAAGTAGAGCCACCCCACTCTCTGTCGCACGTATCCCCAGGGAGGGCACCTGGGGGACTTCTGCTGTGGAATCACGGCACCCCACGAAGGTCCCCCTCACAATACAGCGCTCCGGGGGGGGTTACCTGGGGTCCCCCCATCGCTCCCAGCCCCACGATGGGGGGGAGGTAGAGCCCTACGGGGAGAACACAGCCGCTCCTCCGCACCCACAGCATCGTTAAGGGGATGCGGCCCGCGGTCGGCCGCAGGGTGAGGGAGCCCCCAGCCCCGTGGGCAGCCCCCACTCGTGCCCCGGGCTGGGGGTCAGAGCGGGGCGGGCGGGCGCAGCACACGGCGTTATAAAGGCGCAACGCCGCGGGGGGGCGGTGCCGCCGCCACTACACCGGGAGAGCCACGTGACCACAACACCGCCCGCTCGCCGCTCCCATTGGCGAAGAAGCGGCGGGTGGGCGGGGCTAAGTGGTGGCGCATGCGCGCTGGCCGCCGCGGCTCCATTCATGAAAACGGAGAGAAGCGGGGAGCCACGTGGTTGCAGCGCACCTGCACGAGCCACGCGGGAGGGCGACCGCAGGGACCCCCCCCCAATATCCATCCGCACCCCGACCCACAGCACCTCAAGGGTCGTAGGTTCTCTTTATTTCCAGAAACAATTAAATATTAACATTATTTTTTTTTTAAACAGAAGTGGTTAAAAGCGCGTTCTTCTCCACCCACCCCCCCCCCTCCTCCGCCCCGCTGCGAGGCGTGCGGTGCCGAGCGCATTTATATTATCATTTATAAATAGAAAAATAAAACTCTTAATGGGGGGTGGGGGAGGTTAGTGGTTAGCGTGGGTTAGAGCTGGGCCCCCCCCGTGCCCATGGCACACACCGGGATTGGATCCCCCACAGCACTGAGCCACGTGGGGACGGGGACCCCCACGGGTGGCAGAGGTCCCGCCCCCCCCTCCAAGGTGCCAGCAGCAGCAGGTGGGGGTGGGTTCACCGAAGCCACTCTGGGGTGGATTTGGCCTCGGTGCAATGACCCCAGCGCCATCCACAGCGGTTAATAAAGCAATAAATACGGGGGGAGTGGGAGGGGGGGGGCACGGGGCACCTGGTAGCGCTGTGGGGGGCGTGGAGCCGAGCTGTGGTCCCTGTGCTGCCCCACCGTCACCCCAAGCATCACCCACTTGGGGGCACCCATCCCAGGGGCAGGTGCCTGAGGGCGAGGGGTGCCCACATGGTGGGGGGGACACCTGGGGGAGACACCCAGTGTGGGGCATCCACTCAAGGAGTGCCCACCTGAGGACCACCCACCAGGGGACACCCACACGGGTCTCCCAATGAGGGGCACCCACCCCCACCCAGGGGGGGGCATACGTGGGGGAGACACACCTGGTGGGGATCCACACCTGAGGGGCTCCCACCCAGAGGACACCCAGTGAGAGGCACCAATTTGAGAGATGCCCACCCAGTGGACACCCACCCTCGGTGCAGGCCTGGAGGTGCCCCACGCCCCCTCCTCACCCTCCAGGCTCCAAGCACCGAGCACCCAGCGGCGAGTCCCCAGGAGGGGGCGTCCCTACGCCCCCCGCACCCTCACGGCCCAGCACGCCGCGAGCCAGGCGGTACAGCAGCCGCGAGTACCAATGCACGCCCACCTCGGGCACCGTCCCGTTCCCCGGCTCGGGGCGGGCCGGCAGCAGCGAGAGGAGCCCATGGAAAAGCCGCAGCGGAGCGAAGGCACGGTGAGCCCAGCGGTGGCTCTCCAGGACAGCGTAGCAGGATGCCAGCACCCCGTTCACCAGGAGGGTCCCGTGGGAGGTGAGCGGGGCGAACACCCCGATCCCTTCCTCCCTCGACACCCTCAGCACCTTTGCAGGACGCAACCCTTCGTCCCCATGGGCCAACACGGCGTCCCCCGGGCGCAGCCGACGGGCGAAGACGGGCAGGAACGTGGCAGAGCCGTTGGCGACCCCGCGAGAGGCGAAAACGAGGTGGGACGGGGTGAGCAGCAGCCGTTGGGATGGAGAAACCGTCTCGATGGCCACGAAGGACGCGCGTTGGCCGAGGTCGCGGTGGAGGAAGAGCAGCACTTGGGTGGGCACCAGGCGCCCGCCTGGCTCGGCTCCCAGCACCCAATCGCCCCGACGAAGCTCAGCCAAACCCCGGCTCTCACCGCTCCGCAGCGTCACCGTGGCGTGGCCGGGGAAGCAGCCGCCGGTGCGGATGGCCAAGGAGTTGTCTGGGGGGGTGGGAGGGGAGAGAACGGTGTTTATAGGGTGGGGGGCGTCCCCACGAGGAGCTGCTCCAACCGGACCCGGAACAAAGTGGGTATTTTCTGACACCGCCCCTCCCTCCCCTCCCTCGGGGCTCCTGTGTGCAGAGTTCTTTTGTCCACCCGCACTGATGCCTTTTGTTCCTCTGCTGGGGATGGTGACATTTAGGGCCACTTTCGCTTCTGGGCCGGATGGACGGATGGGGGCCGTTGACCGGAGTGGCCACAGGGTGAGGGCTACACCTAAAAACCTACAACTGTGTTCAGTGCCCACGTGGGAGCTGAGCCTGGAGGGTGGCTGTGGTTGTGCCAAATTTTCGGGTGAGATTATAGGATTTTTGCCAATCTGGCAGCCAGAAAGCTTGGGGGGAGCCGGGCTGGGGCCAAGCAGAGCTGAGCACTGGGGCTGTGAGCATCCTATGTGGCTCTGGGATGCTGTAGGGGAGCAGAAGGTGCTGTGGGGCCATCGATTGGGGTCTTCAGCCCCCCTCCAGCCCCATACCTGCTCTGACGGAGACATGGATGTGAGCTTTGGACTCATAGTAGACCCAATCGAAGCCGGCCTCGACAGCCAGCCGTGCCAGCATCCCGTATTTGTGGCGGTCCCGATCCGATGTGGTGATGTCCAGCGCCCGGCCCTCGTAGTGCAGCGAGTCGGGGAGGTGGTGGCCGTCCTCATCCCACCCCTCTGTCACCCGCAGCCTCACCCCCGGCCACATGTTCATCACAGCAATGGCCAGAGAGTTCACCCGCTCCTTGCAGCGCTGGGGGGGGAGGAGAGGGGAATAAATAACAGTGTGACCCCCAGATCCACTGTTCTGCAGGACCCCACACACCCCAATGTTCTGCAGGACCTTACAAACGTTCCAGCCCTACTCGGGATGCAGAAGGACGGATGGACACGTGGCCCGTGTGGGGTTTGGAAGGAGCCAGCCCAGAGGGGCTGCGGGCTGGGGGGGGTCACTGATGGTGCCCCCATCCCTCAAAGGGGCACAGCTGAGCTGCCCCCCCTGGGTTGAATATTAACACGCTGTGAGGTGCCGCAGTGGTGCCCGTGCAGTGGGGCGGAAAGGGCACGGGACAGTGCTGGGAGTCACCTTCCCCACAGCCACGAGGTGACTGATTAACCCAACCTGGGGGGTGGAGGCACGGGGCAGAGCTGGGGGGGGTGCAGCCGACCTGAACCAGCCCCACAGCGGCACTATGGGGCTCAGTGCCAGGGCGGGTGCAGCTCCCACGGTGCAGGGGGACAACGTCAGAGTCCCATAAGGGTGACACGTGGGGGTCCCACACGGCTCTGGGGTGGCCGCAGTGTAGGGGGCAGAGCCCGTTCCCACCCCCTGCAGCCGGTGGGGTCGTGGCACCTCCCGATGCCCCGGTGCCCCGCGGTCCTCCGTGCAACAAAGCTGCTCCCGGGAGCGCGAAGCCGCGGGGGCGGCAGTGCGGGGCCCGGTCCCGGAGCGGCCCGGCCCGGAGGGGGACCCGGCATGCGGCGGGGGGGCAGGAATGCACCCGGCCCGGCCCGGCCCGGCCCGGCGACAATAGGCTCCTTCCAGCCCGGCGCTGACCTCAGGCTCCGGGAATGCTGGAACGGCCACAAAGGACTCTTTCAGCCGCCCGCACCCCCGGGTCCGGCTCCGTGCCCGCGGCCCACCGGGCTCCGCCGCCCCGGCCCCACCGCCCCCTCCGCCCCGTTCCGGGGGAACCGCCTGGACCACTCGCAGCATCCCCCGTCGCCATGACGACCGCGCAGCCGCCCGTCTCCATGACAACGGCGAGCATCGCGACGGGGCGACGCGCAGCCCAGGACCCCCCCCCGGGGGGCTCTCCCCGGTGCCGCCCCCTCCTCGTCGTTCCTCCCCGGGCTTGGAGGACAGCTGAGGCTCCCGGAGACCCCCGCTGTTGCTCTCCCCGTTAAACCCCGACGTGGATCCTCAAAGCGCCGCCGGGAGCGCTCCGCTGCCGCTCCACCGACGGCACCGGGATGCGAAGGAGGGGAGGGGGGGGGAATGGCCGGGGAACCCTACGGAGGGGCACCGGGAGGGTCCGCGCCCCCCGGGGGTGGGTCGGGGCTGCCCAGGACCGTTCAACCGCGTCCCCTCCCGCTCCCGTTCCGCCGCCCCGCGCCCCCGGCCCCGTGCGCAGCCCCCACCTCCGTCATGAGGCGATCCGCCCCCGTGTTCTCCTCGTCCTTGAAGATGATGTCGGGGTTGTAGTTGGGCACCAACTCCCTGAAGCGTTCCGACCCCCGCAGCACTTTGCCCTCCGCCCTCCCGCTCGCTCCCAGCGTCTGTTCGGGGACGTTGGGCACGAACTGTTTGTAGAGCAGCGGGGAAAGCTGCCGCCGTCCGAACCGCCGCCGCCCCACCGGGCCCCGACCCGGTCCGCAGCACAGCACCGGGGCGGCCAGCAGGAGAGCGAGAAGGGCGAGGGCGAACGGACCGCACCGGGACATCCCGGTGCTCTGCGGCCCTCGTTTAGTCACCGGGGGCGCGGGGGGGTCGGAGCGGGCATGGCACCGGCGGGGCGGCCCCGGGGCTTTTAGAGGGTCCCGGTGCACAGGGGCGGGCCGGCGGCGTTTCCTTTTCACACCCACGGCTCCGGGATCGGCGCTCGGGTGGATCCGTGAGCCCCGCGCTGCCCCCGGGGCCGCCACCCGCTGCGGTGCTGTCCCGGCGGAACCGATGCAGACCGGGAACCGGCACCGGCACCGCGATCCGATTCCACCCTCACCCCCCCCCCGCTGTACCTGAACCCTGCGCTTCGGTACCGGATCCGTTCCTCTCTCCCAGCACCGGTACCGGTACCCCTTTCTCCTTATCCGTTCCCTTCTCCCGGTACCGGACTCCTCCTTATCCTAACCCTAAGCTCGGATACCAGGCCGGTTCCCCTCTCCCAGCACCGGGACCGGGACCCCCTTTTTCCTTATCCTATCACAGGGTACCGGTACCAACCCCGTTCCCCTCTCCCGGTACCGGGATCCCCTTCTCCTTATCCTATCACAGCTCTCCGGTTGCGTTTCATCACACCGTCAATAGGGAAAACCCCTCTTCCTGTCACCGCTCCCCGGTGCCGCCGTTATCCCACCGCTGCACCTCCGGTACCGACACCCCCCGACCCTTTGGCAAATCCCCGTTACCCGAACCCCCTTCCCGGTGCTGCCCCGATCCCGCTGCTCGCTCCGATCCCCGGTACCGGTACCGCTGCCCGTTCCGGGACTCCCCCGGGTCGGGTGCCCCCCACCCGCTGCCGCTCCGCCCCGGCACTGGGCAGCGGCTCCGGGTCCCCACGGCTCCGCCTCGGAGCGGCGGCCGCAGCCCATCCCCCGGGGCCGCCCCCACGGGGCTGCGCTGCCCAGGACGGCCCCTCCGGGACCGGGATCACGGGCACCCCAGCGACAGGTTCACGTCACCCCCCACCAGCGAACCGTGCCACCCCCCCCCCGAAGCCCGGGACCCTCAGCCCCCCACTCAGGTGCACTGAAAGGTGCGCAGAGGAAGGGCAGGAAGGGGTGAAGTCCGGGAGCAGAACGTGGCACCCCCCTCTTTCCCCCCCCCCAGCTCCGGTGCCAGCCCAGGGTGAGGGGAGCGAGGGGAAAGCGGGCACCGATGGCCTCATTTCCTGCTATATAAACCCAGTTTCCTGCACTTCCTGCTCAACTCCGGCCCGTGGGGGTGTGTAAAGCCCCCCCCCCGGCATGGGGGGTGGGGGGGGGCAGCTTGGCACGGCCCCAGGCTGGGCAGGATGGGTGGGGGGGCTCGGGCTGTTCCTGGGCAGTTCCGCCAGGGCGATGTGAGCCCCCCCATAGGACCCTCATACCTCCATAAAGGGACAGGTGGGGTGGGGGCAGGCAGGGTCGGGGCAGCTCNNNCCCCCAACCCCAAAGCCCCGCAGCACCCATGGGAGGGGACAATATGCGACCCATGAGCTGCAGGAATCACCCTCACCTTCAGCCCGACCCAGAGCAGCTCAGCCACAGCCAGGAAGAAGGTTAATAGGG